CCTGAACATCAGCAGCAGAGGACTCTTTAAAGTAGAGACACGACATACCGATATACACCTGAACATCAGCAGGAGAGGACTCTTTAAAGTAGAGACACTACATACTGATATACACCTGAACATCAGCAGGAGAGGACTCTTTAAAGTAGAGACACTACATACTGATATACACCTGAACATCAGCAGGAGAGGACTCTTTAAAGGAGAGACACTACATACTGATATACACCTGAACATCAGCAGGAGAGGACTCTTTAAAATAGAGACACTACATACTGATATACACCTGAACATCAGCAGGAGAGGACTCTTTAAAGTAGAGACACTACATACTGATATGAAACCTAAAATGAGAATAATACGGCCTCTTTGAATCAAGGCTTCTGTTAGTCTAGAAAACCTTCTCTTCTCTTTTGTCTATAGAAACTGTCACCAGCTTCCCTGCCTTTGAAGCTGATTAAAATGGCGCTTTCCACTGTGTTCACGTTGACAGGGAAAGCCGAGGGCAGCAGATGAACTGCATGTTAATATGCAGCTCTCGAAGGCACTTGGGATAAAAGTGTCATCCATTAGTACAACTAGAAAAATACAGTTAACTTCAACTCAAAACATAACATACAGTTGAATTGAGCCTGGTTTCTAAGTTCATTGTATTGCACCATGGGAAAAAGAGTGAACATCTGTGCATGTTTTAAGCTCAGCAGGATATTCCATTTCCTATTAGCCCTAAATTAAAAAGCAGGTTGTTCTGAAGCTGTAGAAGATAAGATAGGATGTTAGACAAATGACAGGAAGATAAGACCAAACAATAGAGAGAAAGCATAATTGTATTTGTCTTGTGTCCTTTATTAATTATCATGCATCACATCCAGGGTTTGTCCATCTCTTATCACCATACGTTCACTCAAATTAATTAGGTGTCAACAACCCTCGGCTTTGACTGTTGTTAGTGTCTAACCAGATGATTGTCAGCGAGAGAGAAAAGGGAGATTTAGGGGTCCAGGGGGGGAGAATATATGAACCACGGTCTGGGATCGGTGTTGACAAATGAGCTCTGTAACGGGGGGCATTAGCCTTCCTCTGTCACAGGGGGAATCCAGCGCTGCAAAATGACATCAAATCCAGATTTACTCACGTCGAGTGCATCTGTCTCACTTTCAGACGAGTCAGTGAAGACGGGAGACCTCAGATCTTATACTTAAAGGGGACCTATCATGCAAAATGCACTTTTGTACGTCTTTTCTACATGAATATGTGTCCCCGGTGTTCCAGGGAACTCACCAAGTGTCAGAAAACACAACCCTCTCTATTTTCCTCCATACCCAAATCTCTTAAAAAGGGGCTGCAACGGATCTGATAAAAACTGATCCAGATTTGAACACTGTCCTGACGTCAGGACGGTGGCGCTACGGCTATTGGGCCAACTCCACCAATCAGGAGGAGACAGCCACGGACATTGCCGCTCGAAAGCGCTGGAGACGCTGTAATACATATGCCAGGCCTGTAAGTGGCGCTGTAGTCTGCCACAAAAGCAGCGAAGAAGACTTCCCGCCCATAGTTACCATGGTTACCCTTCTGTTTATTCTCCGCTGTGGCTTTTTTCTCCCTCCCCGAGGCAAGCGTTTGCTCCCGCTGCTTTAATTCAATGCAATCCCTCCCCGTCGAGGCAAGCACTGTAATTCTCTCCGGTTAGTCCACCAGCAGATGACAAACACCCACCTCTCCGCCTCTTCCAAGGAACGAGGGGACCGTGCGGCAGAGTTTCAGTTTCAGTTTGTTTCGCCGGTCAAGATGTCCGTTAAAGTTTAAATCTTCCGGACAAAATTAGAAAAGTGCAGGTCAAAGGTCTTCTTTGTTATTTATTGAGCTTTAAAACAAATGAATAACGACTCTATATAATAAAACACGGGGGACGGAGATCTCTTTTTCTCCCCCTCTTCTGACAGCCCAGCAGCTGATCAGAGCACGTCTCCCCTCTCCTGCAGGGGGGCGTGGTCAGCAGAATCAGACCCGTAGACAGCAAACAGCACATAGAGCGAAATGAGGCATGGCTAAAATGCATGATCTGTTTGGTATTTTGAAAACAGAAACGTATAAATATACCTTATATAGGTATGGCCCTACAATATATCATTTAAATATAGCATGATAGGTCCACTTTAAATAAAAATAAATACTAAACTGTAAAGTCCTGCGTTCAAATGGACAGGAATTGGCATTAAAACGGCCCATTTCAGAATCTTGTATGTGAAATGACTGGATTATTATTGATGCATCATCACAGCTGGTAAAGGCGGAGCTGATTTGAAAATACTTGATATACTGCTGCCAGAGTGAAAAGCAAAATATTGGCTTTAAAATGTAGTACAGTAAAAATATAAAGTACTTCAAAATAGTTTTTAAGTATAGTCATTGAGGGGGAGTTATTTAAAGAGAGAATATGTTTTCTATATTTCCAGGTAATATGGGAAGACTGTTGCTCATTATTGTTTGTGATATGAATGAAATAATGCACTTCTTGCCCACTCTAAACTTTATTTAAAGGTGGGGTAGGTACCGGCTCGAGATACACTTTTTGTTATATTCCATGGAATGCTCTTAACATCCAGATAGCAATGAATATCTTAAGTGCTTTGACAAAAAATCCATAAAAAAATGTCATCTGTGGAAGCCGTAGTACTGTAAAAAGCACGACCAATCATTTTAGCCGGCCCGGCTAAAATAACTGGATGGCCTACCTGCCTGTCAGCCTTCCATCTGTGCACAAACTTATCTCGTGCCCTCATTGGTCATGTGCGCGTTCGTGTGTGTTGGAGGAGGGGCTCTGTAAGGAAGTGGCAGATTTTTTCCGGCTGTGTATTTTCTAATTCTATCGCACTCGAGCTGGTTTCTCCAAAATTACCAACCCCACCTTTAAGGATGACCCCTTGAGATTAACCACCAGTAGTCGTACAGCCATGGTGTTAAAGTGAGGGGAATTATATTAACCTTAATAATAAAGGAACAGCAGTGACAGGCACACCTGAACCACAGAACTGCACCATAGAATATAAATAACTCATTAACCCATTACTCACAACAGGCAGACAGGTGGTGAACTACTGCCACCTGCTGGCCAAACATGGAGCTACAACCAGCAGCAGAGTACTTCTCAAGAACTGTTTTTAAGTTTTTACTTTATGTGAGTATTCCCATTATCAGCTACTCTACTACATTTATCTGACAGCTTTAGTTAATACACAATATTAGTAATTGTAATCATTGTACACTTTATTTATGCTATGTCTTAAGCTTATTGAATGTTGCATTGTTGGAGGATTCTATTACCAATACTCAGAGGTGGAAGAAGTACTCAGATCTTGTACTTGAGCAAAAGTAGAAGTACCCAGATATTGTACTTAGTAAAAGTAGAAGTACTCAGATCTTGTACTTGAGCAAAAGTAGAAGTACCCAGATATTGTACTTGAGTAAAAGTAGAAGTACTCTGATCTTGTACTTGAGTAAAAGTAGAAGTACTCAGATCTTGTAGTAAAAGTAGAAGTATTCAGATCTTGTAGTAAAAGTAGAAGTACTCAGATCTTGTTCTTGAGTAAAAGTAGAAGTACCCAGATATTGTACTCGAGTAAAAGTAGAAGTACTCAGATCTTGTAGTAAAAGTAGAAGTATTCAGATCTTGTAGTAAAAGTAGAAGTACTCAGATCTTGTTCTTGAGTAAAAGTAGAAGTACTCAGATCTTGTAGTAAAAGTAGAAGTATTCAGATCTTGTAGTAAAAGTAGAAGTACTCTGATCTTGTAGTAAAAGTAGAAGTACTCAGATATTGTACTTGAGTAAAAGTAGAAGTACCCAGATCTTGTACTTGAGTGAAAGTAGAAGTACTCAGATCTTGTACTTGAGTGAAAGTAGAAGTACTCAGATCTTGTACTTGAGTAAAAGTAGAAGTACTCAGATCTTGTACTTGAGTGAAAGTAGAAGTACTCAGATCTTGTACTTGAGTAAAAGTAGAAGTACTCAGATCTTGTACTTGAGTGAAAGTAGAAGTACTCAGATCTTGTACTTGAGTGAAAGTAGAAGTACTCAGATCTTGTACTTGAGTGAAAGTAGAAGTACTCAGATCTTGTGCTTGAGTAAAAGTAGGAATACTCCGTTACAAGTAAAAGTCCTGCATTCAAAATGTTCATCAAGTAAAAGTAGAAAAGTATTAGCATCAACATATAGTTAAAGTAACGAGAGTAAAAGTAGTCATTGTGAAGTACAAGTACCTCAAAATGTTACTTAAGTATAGTACTTGAGTAAATGTACTTAGTTACTATACACCACTGCCAGTACTACACTATAACTTCTATAGCTACTTGAAGATCCAGATTTAGACACAAATCAAAATAACAAATGACTTGTCATGAGATGAATACATTAATGCATCAATAAAAAAACATCCAACAATATATTATTCTGAAAAGGGGCAGTTGTGGAGATAAAGTACTTTCACTTTTGGTGTTTCAAGTATATTTTGAGGCTGACAATTTTACTTCCCTCCAGTGTGTATTTATCATATAAACCTCCATCCAATCGAGCCCAAAACATACATTTGATGTCGCCTATACATGCATACCATACACTAAGAGGAAACTAGACGTGATCATTAATCTATCTACCTATCTAGAAGATCAGTACCATAATGTCACATGGCTACTTTATTATTCATTCATTATACTTCCTTTTTGCATTTGACTACACCATTGTGTAACTGGCACCACTCCATGTCTTCAATGCATGTTGTGTTGTTGGAACAGCCATAGGCTACTACCCTGTGGCTTTGGTGCAAACGACAATAGAGCATTTAATAATTCTTGATTCTAATAATAATTCTGCTGCTTAACATATTTACATGCTGCATACTTGGCACAGGAGCCATTATGCTGAGTGGCCTAATCTCAAATTATGCGGAAAAGCAAGTTAGAGCAACCTCTGCTTTTCACTTCCTAGTGTAGGGTTTCATTCCCGTCCACACACTCCTCCAGACACACACACACACACACACACACACACACTCACACATACACTCACACATACACGGGTTTCTTGCGGTGATTTGGCTGCAGAGAGCTGGGCAGGATTCGCCTCAGAGTCCGGGGGTCAGCACCGGGTTTAGTGGGGCACATTGAAAGAGGAACGCGGATGTATACTTCCGTGAAAAATTGGTAAAAATGCCTTGATTTGGTTTGATTTTGATTTTGAGTGCGCATACAGTACCTGTGCGGACTTGCCTGTCAGAGGGGGAGTCGAGGCCGAGGAGACACACCTTTACCTGCCTGCCCCCCCCACTCCACCTCCCCCTGTTTCTGCCCTCTAACTGCACGCGGAGGTATCTGGAAATGTCGGCAAATGAGAGAGCAACGCGCGCGCTGCGGGAGATCCTGCAGAACGCCGGGAATGAAACGTGCGCAGACTGCGGAGCACCGGGTAAGAGACAGAAAACACACCTGAATCAGCTGAGAAAGTGTTCAAAACAGCTTCATTTAACTTGGTATGATGTGTTGAGCTGCTTCAATGTGACGTTCAGGAGCTGTGGAGCGTTTACCAGAGCCAACAGGTTGAAACCAATCATTAAAACACATCATAAAAGCGCCATTTTTTCTTTTATTCAACCATGAAAAGCTTTAAGTTGTGGTTTTTAACATAACACTCAATATGCAAGACTCTCCTTTTGGTGCATTTTGTTGTTTTCAACTTAAATGTGTGGGAAGGTGTGTTCTCCAGGAGCACCTGAAGGCAACACAGAGAAGTGAAGTTTTGAACAAGCCTGCACATGCTCTGAGAGGTTTTGTAAACTCCCTCACCCAACTTTTTTAGCCCAACTATGGAGGTCTTCTGTTTCTTTCATCTCGAAAATGTAGGTAGGTATTAAGGCAGAACATTATGAACAAAAAATTATAAGAAATCACAACATTTTTTAACAAATGCCTCAGAATCTGCTGATGTTCAGGTGTATATCAGTATGTAGTGTCTCTACTTTTAAAGAGTCCTCTCCTGCTGATGTTCAGGTGTATATCAGTATGTAGTGTCTCTACTTTAAAGAGTCCTCTCCTGCTGATGTTCAGGTGTATATCAGTATGTAGTGTCTCTACTTTAAAGAGTCCTCTCTTGCTGATGTTCAGGTGTATATCAGTATGTAGTGTCTCTACTTTAAAGAGTCCTCTCCTGCTTGATGTTCAGGTGTATATCAGTATGTAGTGTCTCTACTTTAAAGAGTCCTCTCCTGCTGATGTTAGGGTATATATCAGTATGTAGTGTATCTACTTTAAAGAGTCCTCTCCTGCTGATGTTCAGGTGTATATCAGTATGTAGTGTCTCTACTTTAAAGAGTCCCATCCTGCTGATGTTAGGGTATATATCAGTATGTAGTGTCTCTACTTTAAAGAGTCCTCTCCTGCTGATGTTCAGGTGTATATCAGTATGTAGTGTCTCTACTTTAAAGAGTCCTCTCCTGCTGATGTTCAGGTGTATATCAGTATGTAGTGTCTCTACTTTAAAGAGTCCTCTCCTGCTGATGTTCAGGTCTATATCAGTATGTAGTGTCTCTACTTTAAAGAGTCCTCTCCTGCTGATATTCGCACGAGCGATGAAGGCACCATGTTTTTAAATAAAACAAAACAAATTAAATGTTCTGCAACAGAGAACAAAATGGGATCTCTGCCAGGCTTTATCTCTCCATCTTTCAATCTGTGTTTATCCAAGGAAGGTTCACTTATTCCTGTCATCTCTTCTCCTTCCTCATGACTGGAGACAAAAGAGACTCACATCGGCCAGTTGGCATGTGTCTCCCTGGTATTGTGACACAGTGATGTATCATGTATCAAGTATGATAATTAACCAGCAAGTCCAGTTCTAATCTGCCGTGTACGGATGTCATCTCTCGTGATAAGAACAGAAGCGGAAATTGAGATATTGTGGCCCCTGGGCACTTATATTCAAAAGTCCCCAAAACTTCTGATAAACAATATCGTTCAGAATATTTTTGTTGTTGATTAGTGTCTTTTTTTAGTCGTTACTCATCTCTCTGTGGTCTGTTTCTGTCCGTAGTTGTTTTGTGTCTTTCTACTAAAATGTATGTCTCTTTCTCGTCATTTTGTGTCATTTTGTTGACTTTTTAAGTGTCTTTGGGGCAATTGTGTGTCTTTTGAATAGTTAATGTCTGTCTCTTGCAGCAGGTTTGCGTCTCTGTAGTAGCTCTGTGTCTCTTTTCAGTTGTGTACCATAGTTGTGTTGGTGTCTTTGTAGTAATGTCTTATCTTTTCGTGGTCATTTTGTGTATCTTTACAGCCTTTTGTCTCTCATTTCTTGTAATTCTCTGTTTCTTCGTCCTCATTTTAAGACTATAAGGTATAGTTTGCCCTATGTCTCTCTGTTGCTGTGTTGACCTTTTGTCTGGTTGTGTTTGGTCTCTAAATTGTCTTTTTTGACCCTTTTGTGCTAACTTGTATTCTCTGTAGTTGCTTTGTCTAATGTGTATTTACCTTGGGGCATTTAGAGTCTCTTTGTTGTCATCTGGTGTTTCTTTTCGGTCTTCTGTCTCTCTTTACTCGTTCATTT